TTGCTTATAAGAAACACACCTCAAATATGAGAACACAGAGAAGATAAAAGCAAAAGGATAAAAAAAATACTATGCTAACACTAATCAAAACAAAGATTGAGTATTTATGTTAACATCAAGTAAAGTATATTTCAGAATAGTGAATATTTCAAGGGATAAAAAAACATTCTCAATAATTGAGGAGTTAGTTTATTATAAGGAAATAATCTTAATAATTTATTACATACTAGGAAAGCTTCAAATACATGAACAAAAACTAATAAATTATAAGGAAACCATAGGTTTCCAAATCTTTCAATAATTGAAAAAACAATTAGACAGAAAATCAGTAAAGATGTAGAAAATTTGCAGTACAGTATCAACCCACTTGATTTAATTAACATTTACAGAAAACTCTTCCCAAAAGTAGAATATACTTTTTTTTCAAGTTCACATAGAACATTTATTAAAATGTACTACATTCTAGGCCATAAAACAAATCTCAAATTTAAAAGAATTCCTGTGATATAAAGCACATTATCTGGGGGAAGGAATTAAATTAAAAATAAGTAATAGAAAACTATCTGCAAAACCCTAATAATTGGAAACTAGCATGCTTTTAAATGGCCCTGTGTTAAGGAACAAAATTCAAGGGAAATTAGAAATTATTTAAAACTTTTCATGAAAACACACACACACATACATACATCACAGTTTATGGGATGTCATTAAAATAGTTCTTAGGGAAGAATGTATAGCCTGTCTTGCAAAAGAAGAAAAACCAATAGCCTCTGCATCTCCTTGAAGGTACTAGATGAAGAACAAATTAAACACTAAGTAAGGACAAAAAGGAAATCCTAAATATGAGAACAGAAATTACTGAAATAGCAAATAGAAAAATAATAAAAGTGAATAGTAAACCTACCAGGGTAAATAAAAGATACAATCACCAACATTAGGGAGAGGCAACATTTCTACAGAGTGCACAGATGATAGGGGATAATGAGGGGATATGTGACGATTATGCCAATTAATTTGATGAGTTACATTAAACAGGCAACTTCCTTGAAAGACACATTACCAAGCTCACTCAGAAAGAAATATATGAATAGGCCTAAATTTTACCTTGATGTGGAAAACATTTGATACAGAAATCTTCATATCCAAATGGTTTCCCTGATTAATACTAAATGAATATTTAAGAAAAAAATACTAAAGATGAAAGAATGCTTCCTAAGTCATTGTATGAGGCACCCTGGTACCAAAAAGCAAAGACATTATAAGAAAGGAAAATCACAAGTTAGAATCCTTCACAAACATAGATACAAATACATTAATGAAACATTAGCAAATTGAATACATCAAAATAGAGAATGGATCATTCATTAGGATCAGATGTGTTTTGTTTCCAGGAATGCAACATCAATTCAACATTAGGAAACCAAACAATGACTTTTACCACATTAACAAACTAAAAATTAAAAAACACCTCAATTGACACAGATAAAGTATTTGATAAAAATGCATCGTGAAAACTGTCCAATATCTAAAAAGAAAGAGAATTTCTTCAAGCTGATGAAAGGCATATATGAAAAATCTATAGCTAACATTATAGTTGATTTGGAAAGACTGAGTATTTTGCTCCTACAACAAAGAAGAAGTCAAGGATTCCCACTTTTACCATGTCTACTGAACATTGTGCTAGAGATTTTATCACAATAAGGCAAAAAAGGGCAGCTGACATTATTATATATGAAGAAAATTTCAGTGAAATCTACCAAACAACTAGTGGTAATAAGTGAATTTAGCAAGGTTGGAGGATATAACATTAATATAGAGAAATCAGTGCTGGCACGCTAGCATCAAACAGTCCCATTAAAATTTGAAATCCTTAGGCATAAATTTGACAAAACATATATTAAAGCTTATCAAATTGTACACTTTAAATATGTGATCTACTATATTCAAATATTCTTTAATGAAGACATTTGTAAAAATCTAAATTTATTAGAATATAAATAAATGCAATTAAACTGTGTATAAAAGAAATAAAAATGATATGCACAGGAACCAGGATGAAATTTACATCAGATTGAAGTAGGAAAGAAGATGGATTAATAGGTGGATTACATGGGTAAATGTAGTTTATTATCAAGGTTATAACTTTTGTTTGGAGTGGCAGTTTTGTATAGGCCTAACTTATTGTGAAAAAGAATTAACTAACTAAAATTCTGTTTTGAGCCAGTACTGAGATTGGGTTATTAACTATGAATTATGATTAATCCAATTTTTATTTTGGGCACTTATTCAAAGAAAGAAAGACAAGATTTCAAATGCAATGCTTTGTTTCAAATAGTTTTGACATGGTTCACCTGTTCTCATAGAAATACAATCATCCTTACAAAAGACATCCTTTAAAAGGAATTTCTTGCCTGGCGCTGGTGGCTCATGCCCATCATCCTAGCAACTCAAGAGGCAGAGATCAGGAGGATTGAGGGTTCGAAGCCAGCCAGGGCAAATAGTTCTGAGAGACCCTATCTTGAAAAAAACCTTCACAAAAAGGGCTGGTGGTGTGGCTCAAAGTAGCCCTGAGGCTAAGCCCCAATACTGCAAAAAAAAAAAAAAAATTTCTTTTAGGTAATTTTTTAAATCACAGACCAAAGGGAAGAAAATTGGAACTCTCCTGCATGTGGAATGTGTGAACCACAAGAGGGCAGCATTGAGCAAGAAAACTTTCTTTAGAAAGCTTTGTACTGTTAGCTGGGTCAATCATTGAGATTTAATTTACCTATCAGTGGGATTGGTTGGTCTCTGTAACCACTTACTGGTCTTGCAATTTTCATGGCCAAGTGAAGCCATCCTATCCGTGCTTTTAGTTGTTCAAATCTATGAAGTAGTCTCTTTTTGAGCAGTTGTATTACAAACTTGTTACATCATCTAACTTAAGATGGCTTCTCAAAGTATCTTCAAATTCAGGAATTTCTTAAACAGTTGTAGCTCCTGCTTTTTCTATTTCATTTCTTGGTTTTTCTTTCCTTTACTATGCCATCTTCATTTGTTTTGGAGTGTATTCAGCTTGTCATGCTAACAAAGGATTTACCAAAATCAAAAGACCCTTTGAGTAATGCATAGTTCTTTGTAGAAAGTGTTTGAAAAAAAATCTATTTATGTAATAGCTCCCTCACTTTCTTTATTCACTTACCAAGCCAAAAAATATATACATAGAATCCAGTCTATAATCAACTATGTTCTAAGCATTAAAGATAAAGGATAGCTAGGAAATAATTTGAGATTGAATTCTGTTCTTTTTTTTTTTTTTTTTAAATTAATAAACTTTATTTTGTAGGGTAGTTTAATGTTCATAGCTAAGCTGAGATTTCCATATACCTCTTGTCCCCACACATGGACAGCATCTTCCATTCCAATTCAATTCCCCACAGAGTGGTACATTTGCTGCCATTGATGAGCCTGCCTTGACACACCATTGTCATCCAAAGTCCATAATTTGCATTAGGTTTCCCTCTTGGTGTGTAAACAATGTAGGTTTTTTTTTTTTTCATTTTTCTTTTATTATTCATATGTGCATACAAGGCTTGGTTCATTTCTCCCCCCTGCCCCCACCCCCTCTGAATTCTGTTCTTGAGAAGATCTCATTTCCTTTCTCCTGCAGATTTAAAAGGAGCTCATTTGAATAGCCATGTTCATTTACGAGTGTTTTCCTCTACAGAATATATACCACTTTGTGTGCATTACTGTGTATTGGACAGAAGTTACCATGTGTAGTGGCCTAAGAAACCAAAGGCTTATAAAACCAAGGTGTTTTCCACACAGCTTCAGAAGGACAAGGCAATTTTAGGATTTCCATATCATCTTCCTCTCACTCAAGAGAATCATATAGGGCAAAAGTCAACAACTGTTGTAGGAAGTAGGCTTCTCTGGGGACATCCCAAGCAGTTTCTATGGCTGTAAGAGACAGAGGCAAAGGTAGGGTGGAGAGCCATATATCCACCTCTTTCTGGGCTAGAGAACAGCTCTCACTGCACTTCCGAGCAGCACAGTCTTCTCAAATTGGGGGGTGGAGTAGCTCAGTGAGGTTATACTCACTTCCCATTCCTTTTCTGTCGCCTGACTCCCCAATGATGAAACAGCTCTTAAATAATGTTGGGTAGGTGGTCGGCACCTAGTGTATATTTTTTGTCTGGAAATCTTAACATAGTACCCAAAGAGTATTTACTGGCTTGAGAACAGTGAACATGGCTTCTGAAAATATATCTCTCCTTTACTCCTAGAAAATAATCAACCCATTAAGCGACTGTAGGTAAATTGTTTGATTAGACCTTTTTCCATGTGAATGTAAATTCCAGAGGGCAAAAATTTTGTTTGTCAGCTCAATTACATATGTTAACCTCCTACAGGGCACAGTAAGACACTCAATAGATATTTGTAAACTGTATAGAAGAGTAAATTTTCAAGGATCTTAAATACACATTAAGGGTGGGCTGGCGGGCGGCAGGCGTGGGGGTGGCGGCCCACCTGTTTTTTCAGTGTGTAGGGACCGACGTGGAGATGCCTTCCACAGGCTAAGGGTTTAGGGTGCCAAACTTTCGGCTCTCCCTAGTGCTTCACCTCCGCCAAGTGAGGCGCCAGCATCTCAGCCAGGTCCCTGACTCACGGAACTCACGCCGTCTGCGACTGTTGTCCTAGTTGCCATTTTTTGTTTATCACCTATGCAAACTTGTTGAGTCGAAGACTATGCTTGCTCCCAGAGCTCATTGGAATTGGTTTATTTCACAACTTTTGCCTTTTACCTTATTATGGTTTCCACTCCGGAAGTAGGTAATTACAGCTATCAGTCAAGAGCACTTTGGTTAGCTATTTTGATGGCCATAAAACAACAATCATTTTACATCTTTTCTTGGACCTGACTTATAGTGATCTGGTTGTAGGTCCCCTTATTTCATTTACTAGGCTTCTACATAACAAGCAATTATTAAATGAGACCAATTTTATTTACTCTTCAGACCACGTGGACGAGCGAACAGTATGCAATGGAATTGCTCCAGAAAAAGATGTAGATGGATTTCATATTATCAATATTGGAAGGCTGTGCCTTGATCAGCATTCTCTCATACCTGCCACTGCTAGTGCCGTTTGGGAAATAATAAAAAGAACAGGTTGGTAACTTGTGGTCTACAGGAGGCAAGCGTTAGGTGCTGAACTGAGCATTTGTGAATTGCCTTGGTAAAACTACCTCAGTCCTATGGAGAGACAGGAATGATAAGTGATCAAATTTCAGTCTGTAGAAAGATATATAGTTGTAGAAGGTGCAAAGCAATCCATAATAAAATACAATGAAGAACACAGGCCAGGTTATAGGTAACTGAGGTTTCAACTTGTATGGAGTGAATTTCTAAGTAGTGGTTGAATCTTCCTATTTTTAAACTATAAAATTTCATGTCTTTTGATGAGAAATATTTTCAAAATGTGTTATATTTTCCTTACTAAAATAATGTGTGAGTTATGTAGGAAATTCTTTGTTGACTTAGGTTTTCATTGTAAACATTTATCCTTGAGCTGTGCTGGATGCTGTCATGCTCTCACAAGCTATCAGGGTGTCTAGGGATGCTTCTCTGTTGACACAAATTGCCTTGCGTTTTGATGGTTTTCCTGCCTGTACCACTGTCACTTCATTTTCTTGTAACATCAGCTCCCTTCTAATGTGCTATTTCCTCACTGAGAAAATTTCTAAGAGAAAGCATATCCTAGAATTATACTCTCAAAATGTTAGTACTTGGAGAAACCTTAGTTCATTTTTCTTGTGAAGAATCTGAGCCCACAAAAAGGCAGAATGTGCTGAATCTTGCTCACATCATTCTAAGTAGTGCTTCTTTCCTATGGAGTAAAATAAATGAGCTTTGTGAAAAATAATTTTTTTCTCTCTTTATTTTATCCCAGCTTTGCTCAAAGTTTGATTGCCAATTAAGCTTGATATTGTTGTACTTGGCTTCTTTTATAATTAGTAGTTAATGTATTCAAGGCTCTACACGTCCAATTGTATATGTGAATCTCAATGTTTAAAAGTAATTTAATAGCAACTTGAGAATGCTTGTGGTTTTTAAATGAGGAATAATCATAGAGGAAGTGGCAAATCCAAGACGCATAAAAAGAAATATTTATAAATAATTGAATGTGGGCATGTTAGAGATAAGCCACATAATCCAAATTTAATTAGAACTTTTAAAATAATGTTTCAGTTGGCTGCTCAAATATTTAATTTGCTGCTAGTTGTTGGTTTTGTATTTAAATCAGACTCTGTATTTTTAAGGAATTGAAACATTTGGGAAAAATGTGGTTGTGGCGGGAAGATCCAAGAATGTGGGCATGCCAATTGCCATGCTTTTGCACACTGATGGACAACACGAACGGCCTGGAGGTAGGTAGGATCTTATGTAGTCTTCCTTCCGTTTTACATCAAGTAAAAACTTCTGATAATGTGACTTGTCATACTTGTGGGCTTATGCAATTAAGGGTTTCCTGTATTCCTCACCTAATGATGTGAAGGCCTTGAAAGTGAATTTGCAGAAAATGTGTGCGCACCGCGCCCCCCTCCCCCCATGCCCTTGTTCCTTTCTTTAAATCATTAACAGTATGGACACTAAGAAAGGTAAAAAGCCACTAGATACATAAAAGTCACGTGTTTAAGAAAACACTGTTAGTCTCATTAATAGCAAGTAGTTCTTTTTTCATACAGGTTATCAGGATTTGTAATTTTACCTTGATTTTTTTTGTTGATGTGCTTGTTTACTAACTCTTCCACATGACTGTAAGCTCCATGGAGGGTACAAACCCATGTCTGTTTTATTCACACACTTCTACACCCATTTCCAGGCAAAAAGTCTTATGCCCAATACACACAGAATGAAGGAATGGATGACTGTTGGTCTCCTCTGGAACCAATTCTTGCCATTTTCTAGTTTTGTTATAAGAAAATTTGGCAGATTATAAAGGAAGGTAGTTAGTACATGGTTTCAAATTAAAGTTTTCTCGTGTACTAAAAAAAAAAGAAAACTCTTTGATTTTTCATCAGACTAATAGCTAGAGCTGAGAAGCTCCATGAGGGTAGGAATGGGAATAGGGTGAGAAGGAAATCCAGAAAAAGGGTGGTAGAGCATCATTCACAGTTGCCTGAGCCAGTGCTGTGGGCAGAGCACACAAGCCTGCTCAACTCAACTCTCTCTCCTAAATTCTGCACCTTGTTCTAACACAAATGAAGATTAAGTTCATGCTCTTAATAGGAGTAATTATTGGCCTACGTATTAGAACTTTTTACTACATCCTTTACTCATTAATATTCTTTTTTTCTTTTTTGCCTACTCTTCAATTCAGTAAGTACTTTTTTGGATTCTTTAATTCCAAAAGAGTGAGGGTTACTTTTTTACTTTCTAATATTAAGAAGAGTGATAGATGCCTATCCACTCCTATACAACATATGCACACACACGCACACACACACACACACACACACACACACACTCAATATCACACATAAGCATATCGATTTCTTCTTATTATTAACCTTGTGAATTTGGTTTTGTAATATTAATTTTTTGATAATACTTCTTTTAAGATCTTGGCTGACAGAATGCCCTATGGAAAAATAAGCCTGATGTTAATTTATCTAAAATGATGAATGACGAGGTTTTTTGAATATTATTTCCCTTACTGTGTGTAAGGATTTAAATATTGTCAGAAACCAATATATATACAATTTATATATAGGTAAATTATAGTAAATCAGGGCCTGATAGTGACTGATAAGGTAACTTCAAAGACAAGTTTGAAGAGCCCTTTATACAGCCAAATTTGGTGGTGTGGCAGTTTTTAAGGTATATCTTCAGATCTATGTTCCTCATTTCATTATTCACTTCACTTGCTCTGTGACCGCCTGTCTCTCTCCTAGGGTGTAATATAGACATTGATTCATATTTGCCTTTATGTAATAGTTTTCATGTTAACCTGGGTAAAACAAGTAGGAATGTTGACTTCGGTATACTCTTTTTCTTGAAAAATTCTGACCAAGAGCCAATACGTAGGTATTTCTTTGCTTTTAATATTTTTATGTCATTGATAACATAACAAGCAGCAGTATACAGCTTCATGATTTGCTCAGTATTTACTCATAAGCTATTTAATTTTCAATAATTCTAGCATATCAATATTATTTGCATTTTGCAGCTAAAGTGAACGAGTTTTGGAGGCTTTGGAGGACTTGCCCACAGCTGCATAAGGTAGTTTCTAAAACTAGGAGCAGATTTTGACTGTGTGTTCAGGAGCATAGACCTGGAGTCAGACTCCACCGCCCCTATCCCCTACCCCGAACCCACTCCCATCCCCAGATCATTTAATCTGTGTAGCCCTCCACTTTCCTCACCTATAAAATGCAACTAATGAGAATATCTTCTTCATTTTATTATTGTGAAAATTAAATGAGATATAAGTGTGGAGTACTAATTAAACGGTGTGCATGCCTGAAACACAGTAGTAAGTGGGTATATTTAGCTGTGGCTATTGCTGCTTAATACTGTCAGTTATTAAGCTTAAGCCAATCACCTGTAGCCATACTAACCACAAAGCATGTAGTAACATGATGTGAGGGGAATCATATCATTTTTACTTTAATTTGAGATTCTATTTTATTTTTCTGCCAGATTTTATTGTTTTTTGATCATATCTAGTTTTTTTGGTAATAGTTTAGAATAAACTCAGAATTTCTGAAAGATTACAATTTTTTGATTTGAAGGATGACATCTTAATGCTCCAAGTAATACTTAATAATGCACTTTTTCTTGTTCGTATTAGGATATTTATTATATGCTAATATATTGTTAAATTTCCATTTTGAATTACTTATCCACAAAATACTCATCTAAGAAAATTAATTTATCTCTTTTAATACAATTTTATATTAGATAAGCATTATATATTTTATCATATATGATTTATTTATGGGCACATATATATGTAGACACAAATGATGGTAGCATTGACCTCAAGGAGAGAATTATAGGGTAAAAATTACTTTTAAAAATGTTTCATAAAAAAATTTCATGCTTTATACAATGAAATATCCTCACTTGAATATGTATTAAAAATTAAATAAATATGGAATATGCTGTAATGCTGGTTACTAGTCAGTTAATTAAATTTACCTTTGTTACCTTGGCACCTAAGTGCTGTTATAATGACAGTATCTAAAAGGCAAAAGCTTTTACTAAAGATGATACTGGAAAGTTTTCAAGAGGGAGGTATTTAATTTTATGCATGATTAATAGGAGTGTGGGGAATATGTTATTAAAATAATGAATTGTAGAGGGCTACTTGCTGAAGATTTGGAGTCTGTGAGAAAGTTAGTATTTCAAATGTCCGTGTCTGGCGGGGCAGGAATCATGTGCAGTGGCTCTGTGTGCATTGTTAGCTAATGAATATGATGAAGGGGAATTAACTGCAAATTCGTATCTGCAGAGCTCCTTGTAATGACAGCCACTATGCTGAGCATTAGGTCACACTGGGTATTTCTTTGCCAGAAGTTCAGAAACCTAATGATTCATTTTTGCTTAAAGCCAAAGATAATTGCACTAAAAGAAAAAAAATCACCAAACTGTAATTTAGCTTGTTTAATTAATGTGTGTACCCCTAGCTAGCTTTTAGTTTTGATATTAGGGCCATGGATCCCAGCTGTTTTATAAGAAAAATCTTCTTTTACTTCACCAATGACTTAAAATACTGAAAGGAGTGAAAATGTGCTAATATCGTGAAGTAAGAAGGTAGTGCTGACACTCAACTCTGCAGGGAAGCGAGGATGGAGAGCACCTCCCGCTCAGGATTGGCATTGTGGAAGACTTTCTAAAGAACCTGGCATTTGAACCATGGTGTAGTTTACAGCAAGTACAAGAGGGACACTTCTTCCTGCTAGAGCTATAATCTTTGTCGTGGTGATGAGATACAAAGGGACATGATAAAAGGTATGGATAATTTAAACTGTAAATATTCCATGGCACACAATTACATTTAGTACCTATAAGCATGCATTCTATTTCTAAGGGAAGCCAATGGTTAATTGAAATGATATAAAGACATTGGCAGTGAAAAGTCTCTTCTTACGAGCCCCATTAACTATTAGGAGAGTTGAGGAACACTGTGATCAGAATAGAGTACTGTGAACTCGAGAATACCACTCATTATGGAGAGTGGTTCTCTCCATAGACGCAACAAACACCTCATTCCACTCTGAAGCTCTATAACAATATGAGGAGGTGGGACCGTTAGTGGTGTTTAAGTGAATACACACCTACCCCTACCAGGCAGGACTGGAGATTTTGCTCTACTTATGGGTCAACAGGTTTGTCCAGAAGAGGTGCAGTTGATGCCCACAAGCTTCACTGAACTATGCAGTAACCTCCAGGGTGATATGGCAAGCTCACCTGAATGTGTTCCAGTCCTCTCCGTAGTTTTGGGAGTCAGCAGCCCAAGTCACAGGTGGCAGTCAGAAGTTCCACATCCATGAATCTTGGTGGATCCAGAACAACTCAAGCCACTTTCAGAACTCACTTTGCAGTACTCTGCACTGATTTTTGGCAATTTTGGGAGAGAGAAGGAAAAAAGGAAAAAGAGAAAAAAAAGACAATAAAGAAACAAACAAACAAAAAACCCACTCCCTAGCCATCAGTGTGGCCACTGGTAGCCACAGCACAGAGGCCTCTGGGACTGTTTTGTGTTATAAAAACCAAATTTAACGGTTAATCATTGTACTTTTGGTCTGCCTATGTGTTGACAGTGTCTTCTTTGTGGAGTAGCCAGGTTCCTCTATCCTTGCTACCATGAACCTGATAGACCTCAGAGCTCTGGGGTCTACCAGCTATCCACCATCTTGCCTCCTTCCTGAAGCAGAATTTTTAAACTTATAGTAGAAGGACCTTTTTATTTCTGGTTTTGTCAATAATTGTAAATATTGTTGTGATCAAGGAAGATTACTTATACCTTATGTTATCTACTTTTTGGTGTTAATTAAATTTTTGTACATCAAATCATACCATTTCAAATATTCTTTGAGCACATAAAAAGAAAATGTCTATTTTCAGGGTTTAATATATTATACATATTTTTTACATTTTTTAATATTCTCAATATGTCATGAATTTAAAAGGGTGCATTAAATTCAGCAATACAATATATTTATATTTGTGTCATCTGTAATTTCTGATTTATGAATTCTATTTGTCTTTTGTTACTTACATTTGTATCATTGGTGAATCTTCATTTGAATATCTGCTTTGCTTTTTTTGAGACATGGTCTTGCTATATGGCTCAGACTAGTTTTGATCTCACTATGTAGCCCAGGCTTGCCTTGAACTTTAAAATCCTCCTGTCTGTGCATCCCACGTGCTGGGATTATAGGCAAATACTACTGTGTCTGGCTACTCTGTTGATTTTTAACATATACTCTTTATCCTACTTAACATTGAATTTTTCCCTGTATTGCAGTAACAGCATCATCATTTTTTCTGTCAATTTCCTGGTACATATTTGCTCATATTTTGTTCTCAATATTTCTGAATTCTGAATAACTGTGTTTTAGATGTCTCACATATATGGTGTATAATTAGTGATATACAATAAAAATTTTCTTTCTGAGTGAAGTTGAGAATATTTTAATTTTAATTAGATGACTTAGAAAAATGTATATTGCTATGATAAGTATATGTTGTAAGAATTATCACATTACTTTATGTTCTTTGTCATTTTATTGGTTTTCTTTCTTTTTTGCCTATGGTTATTTTAATATTTAGGAATATTTTTGGTTATCTCAATAATCATAACATTATATGATATTCCTAATTCTCTATTTCTTTATATAGTATATATTGATACTCTAATAAAAGACTAGATCAAATGTTTTCATTTCCTCCTCCAATTTAATTTTTGATCTCTTACCTGATATTTGCTAATAAAAATTATGTTTCAGAGTGTTAATACTGTTAAATATTCTTATACTTCTATTATTGGCTAGTTAACTTTTAAATGTGGTTTCCCGTTATTATAGACTAGGCAATCAAAAAGTTTTCTCTTCCCTTCTCATAGTCATTACAAATAGCATTTACATTTGTCTGTGTCTCATTCCATTTTGTGCTTCTATGATGTAATACCTGCAATTAGCTAATTCATAAAAAAACAGAACTTTCTTCCTTCTAATTGTTAAAGTTGTGAAATACAAGATGAAGGTCCTGGCATCTGGTGAGGGCCTTCTGTCTACATCATCCCATGGCAGAAGTCAGACCGGCAAGAGCAAGACAAAAGGGAGTTGAGCTCATGCTTGTAAAAGGAATCTACCCCACCATAACAGCATTGATCTGGTCATGAGAGAAGAGCCCTCACTTAAACACCACTAAAGGCCCCACCTCCTAATATTGTTATAATGGTAATTAAATTTCAGTGTGAGTTTGGGAGGGGGTAAACATTCAACCATAGTAGTCTGTCACTCACCCCAATATTCACACTTTTTTTTAAAGCCTTAGTTCTATAATGAAACATGTTCAAATCTCAGTCCCTTAGCCAGTTTCCTCAAATATATTTGGATTAATTAAAGTGCATGTTTCAGCATGTTCCTCAGGAAAGATTTTTAGAAACAATATTCCCTGAGTTCTTTTATTTCCAAAATTTTTTTTGCAACTTTTAATCTTGGAGGCAGATTTGATAGGGAATAATATTCTTGACTCCCAATTTCTTCCATGAGTCTTTTGTAGGAAATTCTCTCTAACTTTTTGGAATTGAATATAGAAATTAAAAATTTTGCAAGCTGCCTAGTTGCTCATAGGATTTTTATTTTGTTTAAAATAAGGATATTACTAAACCATGTCTCAGTGTTGACTGTTAAAAGTCAATTTGTATGGATTCAAAAGACTTGAATCCATACAAAAGACTCTAAACTCTAATTTAAAATTTTTTTTTCATTACGTTTGGTCATGTTCAACTTTTCTATGACAACATTTTTTGTTGAGTTTATTTATGTATCAATAAATTCTTTAAAGTTTTTTTTTTGGCTTTTGTTTTGTCTTTTTTTTTTTTCTTGGTGCTGCCACTTTTAAAATGTCTCCTTTTATTTACTTAAAGTTTACATATAGTAAAATTTACTTCTCTTGGTGTGTGGTTCCATTAATTTTGACAAATGCATATAGTCACCTTCCTAAATGACTACAGAAGTGACTGTTAGAATCAGAATAATTTCATTACCTCCCAAAATTCCTTGGGCTTGGCTTTATACAGGGCCTTTAATTGATGCTTCATCAAATCCTTTTTCAGTTACTCATCATTGAATGAGTGGGATTTTCTTGATTCCCCTATTTGCAGGATACTTCTGCTATGGGTTAGGGAGGAGATGCTGCAGCCTTCCCCTGCCCTTCACCACTCTCTCAGTACTTCCTGTAGGGATAACTCCTGTGTAGTCTCTCTGTTAGCACACATTCTGATCTGTACTGCCTCCAGAGAGGCCTCTTCTGCCTATTTCTGTTCTCTCCGCTACAAATGACAAAGATACAGTTGGTTACATTTTGGATGTGAACCATTACCCTTCAGGAAGTATGTTTTCACAGTTATTTCAGAGATCTGCTACGCCATCTTGTCATTCTCTGAGTTTCTTTGCTGCCTTTATTCTTGTGTGGTGTCTACCAATTGGCTTTTGCTTCTGGAAACTCCTAGATGTTTTTGAAGGCCGTGTAAAATGTGTTTTCTAGTTTTTCTAAAGATAGATTTTGTACAGCTGTTGATGTTGTTAAATGGTCATCATTTGCATATCTTCCAGTAGGAGCAAAGAGAAATAGTGTCATGCACAGCCATGCTCTCACTGGAAGTCCCTCTCTTGACTGTTCCTCGTCGTCACCTTTGCTTCACTCCCCCTTCTTGGCTCACACTTTAAACATTGGAATGTCTTAGGCTACTTACTTCTCCTTATTCATCTATAACTCCATAAAGTTTTTATGCAAAAACTCCCTGTTATTTTCTAGACCTCTTCACCATTTCCCAGACACATAATTTCAAAGTAGATTTGTCTTTTCCTGCTTTTCTTTTAGCTCAGAATATCCTTTTCTTCCTTTCATGATTAGTACCTCATCCTTATACTTTAAGATTCAAATAATACTTCACTTCCGTTAGAAACCCTTCCTTAATACCGCCTCATGGTGGAATTAATCTCTCTCCTATGCTCTCACAATATATTGTCCCACTTTTAGAACACTTATCTTTTCTTCAGTATTTGTTTGTCATTAGCAAGCCAATGTATTAACCAGGAAATATAGAATTTTCAAATTCTGGTTTTTTTAGGATTTATAACTCTCCTATGACAATCAGCACCTCTCCTCATTGAGCCTCATTTGATTTTCCATGCACCCAGTTAAAAGGTACAATATTTTGGTTCATTTAGATTTTCTTATTTAGCTTTTGCTTTCAACAAAGTGATTTCATCATGTCAAAGCAATTTTTTCTATTTTTAGGAAATAAGCAAAATTCTTCTAACTTTAAGTTTTTGTAAAATTTGGAAAAGCATGGTAGTCATTAATAGAAACTCTTTCATTGCAGGTGATGCAACTGTGACAATAGCTCACAGGTACACCCCCAGAGAACAACTGAAGATCCATACTCAGCTGGCAGATGTTATCGTAGTAGCTGCAGGTAAGTCCTTAGTGACTGTTATCTGGTGGAATGTCATCAGCTGGGTAATGCCCACCTTAAGTGCTGACACAGTTGAAAGAATTGTGTGGGAGACACGTGCACAGGTATGTGTATGACTCACTGCCATGGAATGGATTCTGTGTCTACGTTTACCATATTGGCCCATTGTGTCCATGGTAACATTTATCATTTTATTGTGGAGCACACTGTCTTTGAGATGAAAGATGAAGCATAAGAACAGATGTGTACTTTGCCAGTTGTTTTGGCAACCATGAGCAACATTTATAGAAAAATGTCAATACAGATCAATAATATTTTGTGGCTATGCAGTGGGAGAGGAGGAAGAAAGAAACCTTTACTTTCAAGTTGTGCTAATGAATATAGAATGTCCAGGTGAGAGGAAAAGAGGAAACCACTGTGCTGCACTAGCCACACCCAGGCTGAAGACTTGTTTTCTGGAGCCTAGACCTCAAGGGGGAAGCTGATGTACCTGACCATGTCCAGAGGATGTATAGAATAACAGTGTTTTCACAAAGGTGACATATGAAGGTTGGTCTGGTGAACTTAGGATGTTTTATGTGGAAGAAAGAAAGTATGACTTACAGAAGGTACAAAAGTTGTGTTTCTTTTTTCATAAGGAAAAAGAAGACCCAAACTCAAATCTTTATTATAAAAAGAGCTGCTTTACCAATTGTTGTGATAGTAAGTTCCCTCTCACTGCAATGATTAAGAAGATAGATTTTAAAAATGTAAATAGGACATTGTAGAGCACTATTTGCCAATTTTTTAAATGAACTTGCCTCATTTTGAATAAAATAGATAATTCATGTACATTTTCTAACATTGTTAAAAATATTCTATAAGATCAAATATCATGGCTAAAATATGTAAACAGTTATAATTGCATTGAACATTTGTTCTCTAGGGAAGGTATTGCAATCTTCCTTTAGCATTTAGGACCATTGCAGAGAACGTCCATGTTTTGAGTACAGGGTACTGAGTAAGGGTCACTGAATTTTAATGTTTCTTCCAGTTTTGAGATTCTTTTTAATATAGGAGTAGAAGCTTTATGAAATGTAATATGTATAATAAACTAACCAGAAAGGTAAAGAACCTAGAAAGGATTGGAGTATACAGGGCTTGTGTGTGGATAATTCATGTAGAAATATTTAAGATTTTATTGTACTTTTCTGGTACTTTTTAGTGACAAAGGCAGAATTAAATCCAATCATTCATTCCAAAAGCAATGAACCTTTGCTATGCAACAAGAGCTGCTTTAAATGAATATAAATAATAAAATCCCAGCCCTTGTTAAGTTTGTATTTTCATGGGAGAAGTAGCCAATAAATGCTACAATATAACATCAGGTAGAGATAAGAGCTATGACAAAATTTGGTAAAGGAATAGAGTATGCTTGGGGTACCATTTTACATAGATTGATCAGAAAAGATCTTTCTCCAGCAGTGATCTTTTGAATAGAATCCTTGACCTGGACATTCTCAATTTGACTGCCAGATCCAATCTCTGCCTGCCATACCCTGCTCTGGCCAGGGAGGTTGACTAATATGAACAGCCTCACCTATGTCTGTCTGCCACTGGCAAGAGAGACAAGGTTTGACACCTGCAGGAGATCCAAGGGCAAAGGAGAGGAAGGTCAGGTCAGGACACCTCTTCTGTCTTCTCCTTCTGCCCTCTTTCTATTTCTCCTGAGTCCATGGCTTCTGCTGGGGAGCCTCTCTAACAGCTCTGGCTTTCAGTGGACTTGTAGGAAATGCTGTTGGGAAGGTAGCCAAAGTTAGTTCATGAAGGACTTTGAAGGGCATGGTGAGGATTTCGATATAAGCGAAGAGTAGCAGAGAACAGTATATCAACAATTTATGAGTTTTTTTTCTGTTTGACTCTTTCTTTCCTTCTTTTCTTCCTTCCTTCCTTCTTTCTTTCTCTCTCTCTCTCTTCCTCTCTCCCTCCCTCTTTCTCTCCTTCCTTCCCTTCTTTTTGTGGTGGTATTGAGATTTGAGCTCAGGCCCCTTGCATAAGCATTATACCATTTGAGACATATCTCCAACTCTTTTTGCTTTAGGTTATTTTCCAAATAGGGTCTCTCTTTTTGCCTGGGGATAGCCTTGAACTGTGATTTGCCTACCTATTGCCTCCCTTGTTGCTGTGATGACAGGTGTGCCATCACATCCAGCTTGTTGATTGAGATGGGGATTTGTTAACATTTTGGGGGACGGGGGTGGGCTGGCCTCAATCTACCATGCTCCTCAGGATCTCTACCCGCCGTGAAGCTAGGATTATAGGCATGAATCACTGAGCCCAGCCTAATAGTTTGTTTTTAAAGGCTCACCCAGGTTGTGTCAAAGAGAATTGATCTAGAGAGGCAAGAGTAGAAACAGAAAGAAATGTTATTGTAATTTCATTTAATGGATCTTGGTTTCTCCCTACTTTGTTTATATTTGAACATAACAGAATGATTCTAGGCTGTATTTCTGCCTTTACTCTTGCTGCACAGTATTTCTACATTACAGACAATTGCTACACTTTCTGATTTTTAACCAAAGCTTGAATAAGAGCCGTTTATCATTTTTTCTTATCAAGTATATATAGCTGGTAATTTCTAGACTTTAAACTTAAATTGATGTGTATTCACATACTATGAAGAGAGAGTAAAAGTTCCAGAAGAAAGTAAGTTTGATGAAGAGATTAATGATAGTTTAAGTTAGTTTCAACCAAATTTAGTTCAATTTCTTATTCTTAAAAAGGCCCTTTTCTAAAACCCACAATATACCTCTCATAACATAAAAAGCAATAAGTTGCCCCTCATGTAGTAAAAGTGTAAATGTTCCATTTCCCAGAATTCATAAGTAAGCTAGTATTCCTAATTATACCTGAAAACTTATATTCAGTTGACAGAAAATGTGAATTTTTTAACTATGTTGACAGCGACAAGACATACTTAGAGAGATAATACACTTTTTCAGACCACAGATCAACATTAGATGAAATACCTCTGTAGCAACTGATTCATTCCTTGGAGGCAGGTATTAGATTGGCATCTCAGAAATACTTGTATTTATGCCCAAGACTCAGAATTTGGCAAGTAGGGAATTTTGATGGTTATCTTTGTCCATCTCTAGTTTAGACAGAGTGAAGTTTACATTATTCTTGACCTTACTGTTGACAACTTATGAAGATTATTTCACAGCTGCTCTTAGTTCCCATTTATCAATAATAACATTGAATGAATGTTTTCTTGTAGTGGGGAACATCTCTCAGCATGCATTCATGCTGATGTTTTGCCTTGTCATTATGAGAAAGGGCAGATGGGTAATCACAATCCTCATGCAAGATCCTTGTCTTGATAGACTCTTGTGACTAAATCAAACCGCATTTCACAAGTCATGGTGCCAACACTGTTGTCATCCTGTTTCTCCTAGAGATTGATTTGTAAAGGTCTACATCAGCATCAAGTCTGAGGTGTTAAAAAAGAAGTTAGGAAAAGAAAAGAAAAGGAAAATAAAAGGTGAGAAAGGAAGAATTGAGCTTATACAAAATTAACAATAGGAGCCAGGAAGTATAAAGGCCCCTGGGTGTGACAGTGTTGATTCTCACCCTCCACCACAGCCATTGACTGGCAGCAGCCTCCTCCCACCAAAGGGCTCGGTCTCATGGGCAGCTATTTTAGATAAAGGCAAGTTGCCCATATACTGTCCTAATCCTGGCCAGAAAACATTTTGAGGGGAGACAATGGGAACAAGTTCTGTTGCTTGCTTTGTGTTCTACCTGTAATACTTCTCACTAGATATAATGTTGGAATATATAGCTCTGTAATCATCCTGAAGGAATGAATATTGATTAAAATAAATTTTCAGGAATTATAAGCAATAACTAAAAATTATAGCTACATTTCTACTTAATCTTGAGTAGTCTTAGTCACCAGGAGAATTTAAGGATAAAGCATGTAGATCTTGGTATATTATAGTAAAATAACAGAAAAAAATGAGTTAATATAAAAAGATATTCCATATAGTCAGACAATAGGAATAATTTATTACCAAAGTGACCACATCATGCACTATGTGTGGGAAATGAAAAAATGCAATTAGCAGTGGTGTTAAAGAGACAGTGATCTAATGGCAGAGGTGGCTGGAACAGGAGAGCTAGATCCCTGTGATAATTAGAAAGTCATCATATATGGAAATGATTCCATCTCAGAGAAGTCAGGAAGTGTAGAAGGAGGAGTAGTGCATGATGTATCAGAAAGATCAATAATCTTTGACAGATAACCCTGAAGAATGTGGTGATGAAATATGAAATTAGAATTGCAGAAGAAAGAAAAAAGTAAAAGAAGAAAATCATTGTGTGAAGATCCTGAGGCATAATTGTGTTAATGTTAATTTCATCCCTCCAGTTGCTCATACTACTAATCTTTTAGCTAAATATTAATTACTTTTTATGTATTTCCCCCCAAATAGTGATATAGACTAAGTTAGAAGCTCAGATCTGAAAAATCAGAACCTCTTAAACTCTGCAGTTGTAAGTAAGAGGCTTTAAGTCTACTGAAAGTCCCCATTATAATTTCACAGAGAGAAGTAATCAGTTTCTAGGGCACTTTAATGAATTTTAGTTAAAGCACACAGTGCCTGTTAGAGTTGTCTGTCGTCTTCACTATCTTACAGAAGGGAAAGTTCAGCCTGGTATTTTCTTTTTTTCTTTTTTTTAAAGCTTGGTAGTTAAGTGCTTAGAATAATGACTAAAACTCTGTGGCTGCCCAACTCATTTGTGCTGTATTTGATTTCGAGATTATAACTGGAAGGAGGACTTCTTCAAATTGAATCAAATTTAGCTGATATGTTTCTAGTTATAATTTTTAAAATATAAATCATTATTATAGGCATTGGTTGATTTTATATAGTGAATCATTATTTTTAGGAACTACTAAACATCCCTAGTTTGTCACTGTAATATAGTAATAAGTCTATAAACATGGAATATTTTTT